TCACTATCAGACGCCTCGATGAAACCCATACTTCTAACAGGCTGACGATCAGTGTTTTTCTCAGGTTTTAGTAAAATTACATAAACTTTGGGAATGAATACGCAACACAGGGTGACCGTGACGGCGATGATCAAGAACATGCTTACAAGAACGTCCTTGTAATAACCTCGCGTACCGTAATATGACAGAAAGAACACAATTACATCGGTTGAAATTGTCATCATAGTAAAAGCGATAAAACGAGCCTCGTTGTAGCTTCCTGGGACTTTACGCGTTAAGTATGCTTGATATGTACATACTAAAACTATCCCAGTATTGTACGTCCACCATAACGCCATGTTGTAGTCCGCGTATGTTGCGTTGAATTTACACTGGAGAAAAGCCTCGTTTGACACGTCGGAGTAGAGTATTTCATTCAGTTGTCCAGTAGTTGCGATGATAACTGTGCACATTCTGAAACAACGTAACTATGAACTGAACAAGTTCGCATGACTCAGTTTTTTGAATTTCATCACAGGCAAGTACCACGCGTTGATCGGCAATCACTAATGCCATGCCTTGCGTTGTGATATCGGGGCTATCTGATGAGCTTGATTAGTTGGTCTGCCAGTTTGGATTTCTTCGTGGTGTTTGATCTTTCTTTGTAATGTTTTTTGAGTTCTCTATTCACATTAGACACATTACTCAATGTACGAGGATCAGTGCATTTGTATAATTAACAATTCCCTGTCACATTTGAAAAATAAATCAGGCTTGGAAATTGACCTCCAGCAATAGAGGTTCCATTAGTGCACTTGCTTGAGCTTTGAAATGTTATTTTGAAATCATCATTCATATTTATGACATTTTGACCAGAATTACCATAATAAGAAATTGGTCCTTGAATCTTAGCTTTTATGGTATATGAGATATTTGGTTTGAGGCTGACTGGCTCATCAAGGTTTGCAGTGAATCCATAATATTCATCATTCACCATTTCACTGATGTATGAAGACGATAGCTTTGACATTATTTGATCTCTTTCTAAAATTTCCAATTCAATGGCGTACGTTGAGCCTTTGCTTCCAAAGAGCTGCACACCACTGAGATGTGCGGGTTTGTTGATAGTAAAGTTAACTGCATCAATCTGATTGTTTTCGTAGCCCCATGAAGATGATGGAGACGTTATAATGCTGAAACGATTCTTTGATACTTCTAATCCGCTTCTGTGCTTTTTGCTAAACATGCTGCCTTGAGTTGATGAGGCCACTTTACCGATGATCTGAACCAGCTCTGTAAGCTCACATTTTTCCAGAATTTCACACGGAAGCACCACTTCGGCAAACTCTTTGAAAGACATCAAAGGAAACCTAATAAGCCTGATGATATCTTCTCCAAGAATGGCTCGTTTAGAATCTCCAGTGCACTCTAACTTTCCTTCTTCTATCTTTTTAGTTGCCCATTTATCAACAGCTTGAAAGATCTCCAGCTCCTTAACCTTCAAAGAGTCTCTAGTTAAGACTTGACACAGCATTTCTCGAGGTATTTCAAGGAATGGTTTGGATGATATTGCGAGATGGGTTTTCTTGTCAATAACTGTCCAGCAGAAATCTTCTAGTTCTTGGTCGCCCATTTTCTGCACTTGAGGAAGAACAGTAAACACTTCTTCAGGCTTTAGACATTCTTGTAAGTACTCTCTGCATTTTATGGCAAGAAATGGCATATCATACTTGTTTGCAATGTAAAGTACTTCCATCACGTTGTTTCCTGTCAAGTTCACTTCATCAGAATGCACAAAGCGAAGCAATTCTTGTAGACCCTCCTTGGTGCAGTCTGGTAGGTCGATGGTGTCCTGCTTTTCTTTCAAATCACCGTAAAACATGGCTTCAAAGACAGGACTGCTGACGGCTAGCATGTACTTGTTGGCTGGAACAGTGACTTTACCACCATTAACCGAA